CTACTTACTTATTTACCTACTTACCTACTTACTTATTTACCTACTTACCTACTTACTTATTTACCTACTTACCTACTTACTTATTTACCTACTTACTTACTTACTTACCTACTTACTTATTTACCTACTTACCTACTTACTTACCTACTTACTTATTTACCTACTTACCTACTTACTTACCTACTTACTTATTTACCTACTTACCTACTTACTTACCTACTTACCTACTTACTTATTTACCTACTTACCTACTTACTTATTTACTTACTTACCTACTTACTTACTTACTTACTTACCTACTTACTTACCTACTTACGTACTTACCTACTTACTTACTTACCTACTTACTTACTTACTACAACAAAAACAAGATAATTTCAATTGCAGTTCCAATACTTTTTGTCCCCTTTAATTTCACGTGTTCTTATTTGCTGGATTTTGCATGCAGGTACAATAACAAATTTCACTGCATGACATACTCCGTATGATTGTTGCACGTGACAAATAAAGCTCATCTTATCTTAGAGGAGAAGATATCAGAGTTAAAACCTTAATCGTGAAACAAAAACCACAAATATTCAACAAGAAGCAGAGTAAAAGCTGCTCTTAGACAAACCAATGAAGCAAAACAGTTCTGCCGGAGGAAGTGGCCGAGGCTAATCCCTGTTCTGTATTAGTTAGAACTCCATTGTTTGGCAAAGCTGAGATAAGTACACGCTCGCTAAAAGTGCTCTTCTATTGGACCTGGAGGGCAGGAGGAGGTTGTGAGATAATGATCAGCAGCTTGTGCAGCATCCTCTTTTGTAAAACYAGAGCAGCGGAAGGTCAGATGAATCTTTACTAAGTGTTACAGATTTCCCAGAACTTCGTTCACTTCAACGATCCGGCTTTTCTGCATCAAATAAACACTTTTCTTCTGAGGAATTAGCTGCTGCATCCAGACTACGTGCTGCGTTTTCAGTCCACTCTTTCTAAATGATCATATGTGCAGTACATGTAAGTGCCATGTCGTTTACCTGGACTGAAAACTCAGTTTGCTCCCTGAATCTGAGAGAAGACTCCTCAGAGACTGCAGCCTGCCTGACTTTTAGCCGGTCCTGAAACAGGAAGACGTGCACGCTCGTGAGCGCGCTGGAATTCCCACTGATTATGTTCAAAAAGGAAAGCACGGCTTCTGCGTCTCACCCTGCGGGCCGAGTACTGGCTCTGCAGCCGGAGCAGCATCGCTCTCAGCTCCTCACTCTGACCCTCATCCGGAGTCTGCTGCAGCAGTTCTTCTCCCCGTCGCAGCAGCTCCTCCACGCCGGCTTTCTCCTCGTCCATCTGGTGCAGAGGGAGACAGAGGAGGAGGTCACTTAAGGAGTTCAAGACCTACCGCTTGAGACGTTATTTTCAGCCAGATTCTTATTAGCGCATTAAATAAACCTAAAACCTCTCCAACCAGCTGGAAAAAAAAGATCACGTTGCTTCAAAAAGCATATAAGTTGCAGACGTCTTACAGAGAAGAACACAAAGAGCTTCCTGGCTGGTGCGATGACCTCGCTTTGGATTGGTCTGTTATCTTTCAGCTGGTGACTTTTACGTCATAAAAGCTGATAACAGACTGAATTCCAAACTTGTTAAACCTTGAAACGCCCAATCAAAGCTCACCTAAACAGGCATCAGCTCTGTCATTTAGAAACTGGAGCTCAGGTTATTTTTTAATAGAAAATAATCTCATAAAACTTCTGAAAGAAAAGACAACCTGGGTCAACATTTCTTTATTTTTACTGCRTTCCGTTAAGAGAACTCGTGGAAGTTGAAAAACATTTGACCAGACGGAGGAATGAATGGTTGGATTTCCCCAAAAGCCGTTGCCGAAATGGTCGTAATTAAAAAACAGGGCAACCCTGAGTACCTTGTCATCGTCCAGGATGTTCACCGGTTGCTGCTGCTGCAGAGTTCTCAGAGTGCTCTGCAGCTCTGCCTGAAGGTCCTTTATCTCTACTGGGAACGCAGCTTTAACAGGGTGAGTTTGACTTTGTGCTCGGGTCTCCTGACTGTGGCTGACCTGATTAAAGAAAGAACAAAAACAAACCTCACAAATACGTGTAACTCTCCACATCCGCTCTCAAACACAGGAAACTCGGCTTTTCTGCAACAACTATTTGTAGTTTGGTGGCAAAGGGTTTTAGTTGGGATTTTTGCCCGTTTTTAGGCAACTTGTTGTAACAAACCATTTAAACAGACTTATTACCAGTGCAGCTTGTGATAAATAAAGTGTTTAATACCAGCTGAGGTGACTGCTGACTCATCTCAACGTCTCCCAACTCCAGACTGGTCATCATCTGAAAWAACACAGAAGCTAAATTACATTCAAATTCCACCCATAGGTGAAGATTAACAAATTCTAATCAGCTAGTTAAC